AGCGAGAGACACAAAGGAGTTTGGGGGGGAGAAAGACACAAAGGAAGTCAGTCAGTCTTCTTGTACCCTTCATCAAGTCTAGGCTTTAATCACTGGTTCACTTGCGATTTGGAGGAACTACAGCGAATATAATACAGTCGTATTATAGTGGATCCGTTACAGGTCCCCCCTAAATATAGTAAAATCTTACCTTTATTCCAACCTGCCTCTGTGGCGGAACCAACCTCACCACTATGCACTGGAGAAGCCTGGTTGCTCGCCTGCTCCCTTTAGACTATGGCCCTGCAGTTCAGACCTGTTATTTTCCCTGCTGAAAAGTTTATTTGTGCCTTTCTGCCAGGGTGTTCGGTAGATTCAATCTACCGAACGATGGACCACCTGGGAACTGGAGTGTGCCGTCAATTGACCGCCCAGAAGCTGCGGTTAACCGCAGCTTAATTGATGAATGCTGGGTGGCCTTTGTTCGGTTGCCGAACACGTGGCAGCGGCCATTTTACCTCCCGAACGGCCAGCGGTGTTCAGCGCCCAAACTATGGAACTGAAAAGACACTTATTGGCGCGAACACCGCTGAGCCGCCAGCGGAACCAAATGACTGTTCATTCGGTAGTTTAACCGGATGAACAGCATCACCCCAGATAAGCCATGGAGCCTGTTCGTGTAATGAAAGACTTTGGCTCCATGGCAATTTAACTGTATGTATGTGATCTGAGTGCAATTCGGTAGTAATGTGCGCTCAAATCTAAGCTATCTGGAGATATGTAGAATGTCTATGTTTTATGTAATAAATGTAACTATGTAATTTTATGTCTTTTACTGAAAATGTGTGTAATGGAGTTTTGCCTCGGTCCTTGGAGATAATTGGATTACTTCCCAATTATCTCCAGGACAGAGAGGAGGGATTGTGATGCATTGTGGGATGGTTGAAATGTGTAAGTCTGTGATTGGTGCTTGTACCCTTTGTGTCCTAGTCTCCCATCTGGTCCCCTAGGGGAGTGTTCACCAGATGGGAGACCTGCATAAAAGCCGGGCAGTTAGCCCCCAGTAAACCAGATTCTGCTTGACCCTCAAAACGAAGTATACTGTATGCTGTTAGAGACTGATTGCCAGCACTGTAAGCCGCTTGGGGGCTTTTCTGTTCGTCTGCTAACAGCTATTCGTGTGTCTCCAGTTCAGGAGTTTGGAGTGCTACTTGGTATGCAGTTCGGGAGTTTCGAGTATTCCCTTGGTTGCAGTTCGGGAGTCGGTGAATTCGTGGGTTTGCAGTTTGGGAGATTGGTGCTTGCAGTAGCGGTCTGTGCAGCTGAGAAAGGGGAATATCGCCTAAATGGTTTTTAGCCGCTTATGTGCAAAACGGTCTGATACAATTGGTGGCAGCGGTGGGATCATTCCCACAGCCCAGAAGGACAGCTACAAGACAACACCATCCCCTGGACTTACAAATTGAGGGCAACGCTAGTACCCGTACAGCGCCCCTATCTACAAAAGAAGCAACTGCAGCAGAGCAAGCATGGCACCCAGCTACACTCAGGAGCAGTTTGACAGAGAGTTTACCACGTGGCTGGCTTTCCTTGGGCCCAACCCCCCGGAGAAATACGTGCAGCTCGTGAGGAGACATGTAGAAGAGTACCTGCAGGTCTGAGCAGGGCGGACAGGTGAGTTGGCAGGTTGGGAGAGACCCCAGTGGCCGAGCAAGTTACAGAGAGAGAAGCGTGTCGTCCTTCCTCCCCGGCGGCAGTGTGTGTTTCAGGGAGCTGAAGGTGTTGTCCTTCCTCCCCAGCAGCAGAGCGAGTTACAGGGAGTTGAATGTGCCGTCCTTCCTCCCCAACAGCAGTGTGAGTCCCAGGGAGCTGAAGGTGCCGTCCTTCCTCCCCAGCGGCAGAGCGTGTTACAGGGATCCGAAGGTGCCTTCCTTCCTCCCCAGCGGCAGTGTGTGTCCGTAGGAAAGGAGACCGTGGGTCCCTCTCCCCAGCAGTTTAGTGAGTCCCAGGGAGCGGAGGGTGCCGTCCTTCCTCCCCAGCGGCAGTGTGTTGTCGCGCATCTTCTGATCACGCTCCAGTGAGGGAATTAAGGACAGCACGTTGTCCTTGAAACGGGGATCCAGCAGGGTGGCCATCCAGTAATCAGCACAAGTTAGAATGTGGGCAACTCGGCAGTCGTTGCGCAGGCATTCCACCATGTAGTCGCTCATGTGTGCCAGGTTGCCCAGAGGCAAGGACAACCTGTCCTCTGTGAGAGGTGTATCGTCTGTGTCCTCTGTATCCCCCCAGCCACGCTCCAGTGATGCCCACGAGCTGCATTGGATGCCACCCTGCTGTGAACACTGTTCCTCCTCCTCCTCCAGAACTGTGCCCTGGCTGGAAAATTGTGTACCTGGCCTATGCTGGTGCAGGAAACAACCCTCTGAGCCACTTGTGAATGACTGGCCTGATAACTGTGGAAATGACCCGTCTTCCTCCTCCTCTTCCTCCTGTGCCACATCCTCTTACATCATCGCCCGAAGCGTTTTTTCAAGGAGACACAGAAGCGGGATAGTAAGGCTGAGAACGGCGTCAGCAGCACTGACCATGTTGGTGGAGTGATCGAAACAGTGCAACATGGCACACAGGTGGCCCACTCATTGGTGATGAAGTGGTGCTGTTCCGCAGAGCGACTGACCCATGCATACTGCAGCTGAAACTCCACTATCGCCTGCTGCTGCTCGCACAGTCTCTCCGACATGTGCAAGGTGGAGTTCCACCTTGTGGGCACGTCGCATATGAGGCGGTGAGCGAGAATGGCGAAGTTACGCTGCAGCGCAGTCAGGCGAGCAGCATGGGGGTGAAAACGTCGAAAGCGCACAAAGACGGCCCACACTTTCTGCAGCAGCTAGGATATATCTGGGTAGTTTTTCAGGAATTTCTGCACCACCAAATTCAGCACATGCAACAGGCAAGGGATGTGCGTCAAACCGGCTAGGCCCAGAGCTGCTACAGGATTTCGCCCATTATCGCACACCACCAGGCCAGGCTGAGGCTCAGTGGCAACAACCACTCATCGGTCTGTTGTTCCATGCCTGTCCACAGCTCCTGCGTGGTGTGGGGTTTTCCTCCCAAACATATGAGTTTAAAAACAGCCTGCTGTCGTTTCCCCGTGGCTGTGCTGAAGTTGGTGGTGAAGGTGTTACGCTGACCGGATGAGGAGGTGGTAGAGGAGGAGGAGGCAAAGAGAAATGCCCTGCAATCCTCGGTGGCGGAAGGACATGCACCAAACTGCTATCCGCCTCAGGCCCAGCCGCCACTACATTTGCCCAGTGTGCAGCTAGGGAGATATAGCATCCCTGCCCGTGCTTACTGGTCCACGTAGCAGTGGTTATGTGGACCTTGCCACAGATGGCATTGCGCAGTGCACACCTGATTTTGTCCGCCAATTGGTTGTGCAGGGAAGGGATGGCTCACCTGGAAAAGTAGTGGCGGCTAGGAACCACGTACTGTGAGACAGCCACCGCCATCAGATTTTTAAAACTGTCCATCTCCTCCAGACGGAATGACAGCATTTCAAAGGCCAGGAATTTTGAAATGCTGGCATTCAGTGCCAGGGATCGCGGGTGGCTAGGGGGGTACTTCCTCTTTCTCTCCAGTGTTTGGGAGATGGACAGCTGAACGCTTCCATGGGACAGTGTGGAGATGCTTGGGGACGGTGGCGGACGTGGTGGCATTGCTGCCACATCCTCTGTTTGCTGGATGGCAGGTGCCACTGTCACTCTAGAGGTGGAGGAAGAGGCAGAGACAGCAGCAGAAGAGGAAACAGGAGGAGCTTGATACCTTTCTTGGTTTTTGAGGTGCTTACTCCACTGCAGTTTGTGCTTTGCATGTAGATGCCTGGTCACGCAGGTTGTGCTCAGGTTTATAACGTGTATGCCTCGCATCAGGCTCTAATTGCACAGCGTGCAAACCACTCGTGTCTTGTCGTCAGCACATTGTCTGAAGAACTGCCACGCCAGGGAACTTCTTGGAGCTGGCTTTGGTGTGCTCGGTCCCTGTGTGCGGTGGGCAGTAGCAGGCGTACTGTCTAGGGGATGGCCGCTCCACTTTTGCACCCTGCTCCCTTTTATGCTGTGCTGATGCCTCTGTGCGACCGCCACTTCCTCCAAACTGGACACGTCACTCGAATGACCTTGATTCCATGTGTGTCTAGGACCTCATCATCCTCCACATCATCTCCCACCAACTCCTCAACCCTGCCCTTCTTGCCGGTCTGCACCTGTGTTTCGTCATTATCAGAGACGTGCTGCGGTGGTCCTAGCATGTCCACATCCCGACACATAAGTGGTTGTGCATCAGTGCACTCAATCTCTTCCACTTCTGGGGCAGGGCTAGGTGGATGGCCCACGGAAACCCCACCAGCAGAGTCATCAAAAAGCATAAGAGACTGCTGCATGACTTGTGGCTCAGACTGCTTGGCTGATTTGCAAGGGGGTGAGGTGAAAGACAGATGGCCATGGGCTGCAGGTGTCAACTCTGAGCTTTCAGCAGGGGACCAGGTGGGAGACAATGTGAAGGAACTGGAGGCACTGTCAGCCACCCAATCTACTATCGCCTGTACTTGTTCTGGCCTCACCATTCGTAGAGCGGCATTTGGGCTTACGAAATAACGCTGAAGGTTCTATCGCCTACTTGCACCTGAGGAAGGTGTTTCACTTGTGCGTGTAGCTGGCACAGATTGACCATGTCCTCTCCCTGCAACAGGAGCTCCACCAACTCCAGCAGCACCATGACCAGGGCCACGTCCTTTGACGCTCTCCTCATTCTTTGCGTTAAACCATCTGTTAGTTTGGTGGGTGATGTCAGGCGACAATGTAACCGTCAATAGTCAACAATTAAGTTCACTGAGAGTAAGGCAGTGCCAGTGTACTAAAAGAGAAAAAATTTCTAGAGGTCACACAACAGTGTGACAGGCATGATTAATACAGTTACTACACTGTCTCAAAAAAGTGTGATTTTTTTTAAGTCGATTAAAGATCATGTCAACTTTCTTAACAAGCGTGGTAAATCCCGACCCTGGGTCTATTGACATAAATAATGTCTTCTCACTAAATCCATTAAACACAGTACCTGGTAATGATATGAGTGAAGTATTTTTCCTCATTCAGAAATTATATCAACAACAGATAAAAGGATATTGGGAATTAGTGAGTTTGAAACAGTACATAGATCAGAAACTTGTACCACGGGGGCTCAGACCTGAGATCCCTTTACCCGACAAAGTTACCACTGAAGAGCAGACCCAAGAATGGAATAGCATTTTATTGGAATGCTCAGCAAAATTAATGCAATTTTTAATCAAACTCGAGTCACAAAATTTGGAGATTACGAATCAGAATTTAGAAAAAGAACTAGTAAATGTGAAAACCTTTAAAGATCAATCAGAGTTTCCCCTTATGGAAAATAAATTACAAAAGAATCTAGACTCTTTTAAGAAACACATTAAAGAGAAAAAACATCTGAAATTTCTCAGAGACCACAAAGATTTCAAAGAGGGGAATATTTTTCGTTTAAAAAGAAAACCAAGAACCCGCAATTTCAGTAGAAATAGCTCTACATCAGGCAATACAGACTGGATGGACTCCGATTCGGGCTCATCCAGATCAAATAGTAACCGGAGAACTAGAGACTATTCAGATCAGACTAGGGGTAGAAGCATCCTTAAAAAGCCTAATAGAGGTGTGACCTTTCCAGTTAATCCAGAATCTGGGAACCACGATACCACTAAACAAACAGAGAGGGTAGAAAAATCTTCCTCATCTCCTTTTTTAGAGGAGGATTGGCCACTTCCATCAGGTGGCAGACTAAGGGATCGGAAAAAATGGGGATACAAACCAGACAAAAGAATCAATCTGACCTAACAACGAGTGATGCTAATCGAATAATAAATTTGTCGACATTCACACTTAAAACTCATCACCTTTCACTTCTTAACAAAGGTCTGTCTTTTGTACCTACCCCTAATCCCAACAAATTTGACTGGATAAAAGATACAAATCTATTTGGTAGAAAACTGGCTTTGAATGTGGTACACAAGAGAAAAAATCAAAAACTGGCAAAAGAAGCTGGTTTTTCAAACATTGATTACCAGCATTATCAAACATTATTATCCTTACTAAATGAACAGGATTTGGCTCAACCACTTACTAATCTTAAGCCAGAAAGTTGGTTCACCCCTAACCTCAAGGAAGTCTCAAGTGTAGACCTATTTATAAAAATGACCACTAATGAAATTGAATCCCTAGAGACTCCTACTAGATGTGAGGATAATTTAACCGTAGCGGAGAGAAGAGCTTTGACAGAACTTAGCCATGAACCAAATTTGGTTATCAAGGCGTCTGATAAAGGTGGTAATGTGGTCCTTTTGGATAAAAGCAATTACATTGAGATGTGCATGGAACATCTCCAAGATGAACAACATTACAGTCACCTTCCAAAGGACCCTACCACAGAATTTTTGATTGAATTAAAAAGTATTTTGGATACAGCAGAATTGGATGGTATCATTACTAGGGAAGAATATAAATTCATTATCCCTAATATGACTCCAACAATTGCCACCTTCTATTGCCTTCCCAAAATTCATAAGAATCCAATTAAACCTCCGGGCAGACCAATTATTTCAGGGAACGGCTCCATTACTGAGAGAAGCAGTCAATTTTTAGAGAAATTATTACATCCTTTGGTTATTAAACTTAAATCCTATCTTCAAGATACTAAACAAACATTGTTACTACTTGAGGACTTAGTGGTCCCTCCCTATTGTATGTTGGGTAGCTTAGACGTTGTAGCTCTCTACAACAATATTCCTCATAATATAGGTCTTTTGGCCACGTCGTACTTTCTCAATAAAACACCAGGCTTTTCAGCAGCACAAATCAATTTTATTGTCAAACTTTTGGAATTTGTACTCACTCATAACTTTTTTGTCTTTAATGGACAATATTATCTACAACTCAAAGGGACCGCGATGGGTACGGCGTGTGCTCCCAGCTACGCCAACCTATACTTGGGCTGGTGGGAGGAGACCATTTTGCCAGCTATCACCAAAGACCAGTATGACACTTGTATCTATAGCTGGCATAGATACATTGATGACATACTGGTCTTTTGGTTAGGATCTGTCGATAAATTCCAAAAACTGGTTAGAGATCTAAACAATAATACCATTGGCCTACAACTCACACATGTGATAGACTCTGAACATCTGATATTTCTAGATCTCAACATCACAGTTTTGGAAGATGGGAAGGTAGAAACTGAACTTTTCAGGAAAGATTCAGCAACCAACAGTCTACTTAACTGGACTAGTTATCATCCAGTTAAGTTAAAGTCAGGTATACCCTTTGGCCAGTATTTGCGCGCCAGGCGCAATTGTTCCACTGAAACATCTTTCCAAAGGGAAGCCAACAAATTAAGAACTATGTTTAAACAGAAAGGCTACCCAAATAGAATCCTTAAACGAGCCTACCAACGAGCACTACTAATAAATAGAAGTGAAAGCTTAAGGTCGAGTAGACCTAAGTCAGAAACGAAAATAACTCGCTGTGTAGGCACGTATGATTTATATTGGGACAAAGTACAAAAAATAATGACACACAACTGGCCAATACTTCAGCATGACATAGATCTTGCCGATAATATTGGTAATTTTCCTCAAATCACGGCGTAGGGCAAAAAACCTGAGAGACATCTTGGTTCATAGTCATATTGAACCTATGAAACCATCCCAATCCACTTGGTTAACCCAGACTACTGGGATTTATCGCTGCGGGCATTGCAAGGCATGTAAATTCATTAAACCCACCAAAATGATAACAAGCTCTATAACAAAAAAAGAATACAAAATTAAGGAATTTATCAACTGTAGCTCTACTCGGGTGATCTATTTAATTACATGTAGCTGTGGCATCCAATATGTAGGTAAAACCTACCAGCAATTAAAACGAAGGATACTACAACACACTTGCTCTGTTACCAACTTAAATATCTCGACTCCAGTAGCAAACCATGTTCGAAATTTCCATCAGGCTGATCCAACACATCTTACATTCCAAGCATTGGAGAAATTAACCCTAAACACTAGGAAAGGGAATTTCAATAAAATACTCCTAATGAAAGAGTCTAGATGGATTTATTTTTTAAAAACATTAGCACCTGATGGTCTGAACGAAGAGTTCAACTTCACCCCGTTCATACATTAATAAACGATGGGCTTAGTACTGAACTCAGACTACTCTGGTCCTTTTACTTTATGGCCAGCCTATTATGGACTCATTTTCTACTAATATCATATTTATAATTTTGGTTTTAATATTTATTAATAAAATTTATTTATTTTTTCCTTTTTGGATTATATTACAGTGGTATACTTTGCTAAATAGTATACCTTCTCAGCATTATTGTCTGAGATTGATATACCCATTATGTAACCACATTTTGCTCTGTACTTTAGATATATAACATGTAGGTACACTTCCTGTTTTTTCTTGATATGTTACATTTGGGGTTACCCCCCGTTTCCTTAAGTGTACCTGTTATTTGGCTCTATTTTTATTCTCTTTTGGTTTTGATTTTTTTTAAACCAACAATGTAACAGTAGTATTTAAGGGATTTATTGGACTGCAAGAAATGTGCAATGTAACCACAGTATTTGACGGTTCTATTTAACTCTCAGATATGAAGGGCACGCCCCAAATTTACTTTTTAGCACCAAAGAAATGTGAATTTTTCAAAGTGCGATGTAACCACAGTATTTGACTGTTCTATTTTTTTATTTTTTTATTCTTTATTTTAGTTGTGCATGTGATTATAACAGTCGCTTGTGAGGTACCCCAAAGGCAGTCCTCTAGCGCATGAGAAACAGTTTAAACATTGGGGTAGACGTTGGGTCTAGCACATTTTTTTTTAAGTTAGTAATGTTATGAACAGTACATATTTACGTTGCTTAAGCATTTCAAAACATAACACGGAACAGTATCGCTTGTATCTTTCTAGATAATAGGGTTTTACGCTATGTCATAGGCTAGTCAAACAGAAAATAATAATGCTAAACTTACATGAGCGAGATTAAAGTAATACAGCATATAACCAGAAGTTTGCAGGCCATAATCACATAAGTATTTGGTCACTAATAGTTACGGACCTAGTTCACTGACTTAACATGAGTAGATCAAATAAGGTAGCTAAAACCTGGGGGAACTGCTTGTATCTTAATTAGATGCTGAGCTAAATGCTAGATAGGGTTCACTTGCAAATGTTTGTGTATTTACTGCTCGACTGCCTGTCAAGTATATCACAGTGGGCATAGTTTATTTACCAGCTGTGTGGTTGCAGGCTAGATAAACCAGCTTATTATGTAAACCGCTAGGGTCGAGCTCGCCGCTTTGCCGACATACAACTAATTCAAATGCACAGCTAAGTCAAATAGGAGGCATTTAAAACAAAATAAAATAAGTGGACAACAGGCCTAAAATAAAGCTTAGCTTTGTGGCATATCGGGTATTGTGTGGAAGTTGGCATCTAGGCCGGTTGCAGGAGGGTCTGTGACAATGTCCCTTTGGGTGCGTATTGTAGAGGCCAGAGTCCAGCACCACTCGCTTTTTAGGACGTCCCTTTCAGCCTATGCCCACCGGGTGTATAGAATTGTCCAGCTTGGGGGAGTCTTGCCCGGTGGCGGCCCGCTTGCTCGGAAAGGTAATGGCGACTTTGCTGTTGCGTAATGGCAGTTGCCCCCTCCGCGCTCTCACTCTGGGTGGTGGTGGAAAGGCTCTCCGTTGGATACATCCGTCGGTCCCCGACCCTGCTGCAGTGTGCTTAATGTCGCTGTGGGCCCCGCCAGTACCTCCATGTTGTGATGTGCTTTGCAAGGCGACAGATGCTGGGACTGCTGGACGGTGGGCAGGTCGGGCATTCCGGTAGGTCCTGCTCTGGAGCGTGAGGGCGTGTGAACTGTCGTCCGGGGTACTTTGCGCCTTCTCCCGCCTTTCTGTTCCCTGGCTTCTTTGCCGACGGGAGGCTGTCCTGGGGCCCCATGGGGGGCATCCCCGTAGGCAGCGCCGGACTGTCGGGCGGATCCACGCCATAACCGCCGTCACCGCCAGTTTGAAGGGCTGACTCCTGGCCCCACATTTCGTCCAGAGGTAGGCGCAAAGCTGGTCAAAGAACACCAGTGTGTGTTGAGGTGGCTTGGAAATAGTGCGCCTTTTTTTGTTCGGCGTCTGCGCCGCCATTTTAGCTGGGCCCTGATGGTCCCGTTTGGACAGAGTTCGTGTTGCCGGGGCAGTTAGATTTGTGGGGCTATTCGTCCCCTGCGGGGACCGGGATATCCCCCGCCAGTCCAAAGGGGGGGTAGCAGGGCTGTAGCTTGCTCTCGCTAGGGAGCTCGTCCTGTGCTGGGAAATCGGCCGCTTTCCCCGGGCCCCAGGCTTCACTCTGGTTTAGGCCACATGGCCGTAACAGGTTTTTCTGCGGCACACCGGTGCTGGGCCGGTACCATTCAGTTGCTTATGTCGAGCTGTACTTGTACTCGGACACCGTTTGCCGCTGGCCCTCTTGGATCGCTTGGTATCAGCTCTCTTGTGCCTGTCGTTGCAGGAGCTCCTAGAGTGTGCGACTGGCCATCTTGGCTGTCCGACCCCGCCCCCTTGACGATTCTATTTGACTCTCAGATATGAAGTGCACGCCCAAATTTACTTTTTAGCACCAAAAAAATTTTTTTTTTTCAAAGTGCAATGTCACAGCAGTATTAAAAAATACATAGATGTTGCCCACTGAGCTACCAGAACAGGATTAAAGCAATGTGCCTGGCACACATGCAGTTGCAAGTGCCCACCTAACAGACTGATTGCTTATTTCTCTG